CATGGCTTTAGGTGCTCCTTTGTTTTCCCTGTGGATGTAATTACAGGAGGGTTCATGGTTTTATTGAATTCCTCCTAATTTTGTCATCACTTTTGTCTTCTCTTTGGCTAGGCTGCTTTTTCTGAGATGGGAGCAATCTGCATGGGGACGGATGGATGGATGGATGGACGAATGGATAGATGGATGGATGGATAGGCAGATAGATATTTACTATTTAGGCTCTTATCAATCAAAAGTAGGTGTCAAACACACGTTCTGTTGTTTTGTTGTTTCTGGCTAAGGTGCTGTTGCAGGGTTTCCCAGCGCAGCTTCAGCAGGCTGAGATTGCCTCTCCCACTCAGACAAACTTGCACCCTTTCAGTCTGGGAGCGTGCAGTGAGCCGATGTACACTTTCAATGTGCGCTTCTAGGCAGCTGATGTATGTGTTCAACATGTGCTTGTAGGCAGCCGATGTACACGTTCAACGTGCACTTGTAGGCTGTTTGCATGGTGTTGAGTCCCGGTTAGAAACAGAGGCTGGGTAGCAGGGGAAGATACATGGGAGCAGACCAGACAGACGGGCTTATTGCGCCGGGAGGTCCTGCACTGCTGCTGAGATTGAACCCAAACCCGTCCTGAGCCTGGGACATCCCCCATCCTGATGGTCCTTGACCTCACCAGGTTATCCCTCAGGGTTTCAGCTTGTGTCCTGCATGGGGGAGATGTTGTTTTAAAGTTGAACTGGAGGAAGAGGTGGTCAGGTGTTTTGGGGATCAGCTGTTTTCACGCCTCGTAGCAGAGTGCCCGATGGTTAAATGCTCTCTCTGTGCCTTTTACCAGCCTGAGTTCGCAGAGGTGTTTTCCATGGAAATCATCACGCCATTTTTCTGGGCCGGGAAGGAGAGCAGCGGATGCCCTGTAGACCTCCCGCTGTTGAGAATTGTCCTCCTCAGGATAATTTCTCTTTTAAAAAGAGGGCAAGAGAAGCTTGACTGGGTCATTTCACCCCTAACTGTCGATGTCAGCAAGGACAGGGGACTTGGGCCTCCACGTGGATTTTGGGCGTTCCTCTCTATAGCTCAGCTGCTGTGTTGGCAGCTTCATCCTAAGGACGCCTGCACCTGACTTCCATCATTCCCATCTTCCTTTTCCAATACCCTTCCCTTGAATTACTGCCTGCTCCCCTCCCCCTTGCAGACGCCTCTGCGTTCTGTGTCCTTCCCTTGCCCTTTTTGCTCCCTTGGTCTGTGGCTTCTTGATTGTTCTTCCAGACAGTTGAGGTTGCTGCCCTTACTTGGAGGCGGGGATGCCAAACCCAGGACAGAGTTTTGGTTTAAATATACCGACTGTTGTCCAGGATTGTAGAAGGGAGGGAGGAGGGAATGCGAGGCTGGTATAAAGTGCAAGTGGTATTTCTCATTTATTATAGCAGTGATCCAGGTTCGAACATGATGTCCATTCGTGGTGAGGTAAAGAAAAGAACACACCCACCATAGGAAGATACCGAATGTAACCTGTGTTCTGCCCCTGCTAAAGCTGCAGTCTAAAAATGTAACTGAAAACGGGAATGGAACCAGGAGCCTTACCTGGGGGGACCCTGGAGGTCTTCTGGTTTGAGCAGCTTGGCGCCCATGTTCTGGCTACGGCTCTGCTCCCTACCTAATGACTGAAATCCCCTGGGAGGGACTGTAGGGTGGAAGCTTTTTCTTGTGTTGCAGCTGACGTGATATTGGAGTGGCCTGGTTGCACTCCTTGGTGAGAAGCCTGGCCAGTAAGCTCTGCTACTCATACACCTTTCAAGCTTAACAAAGGTTTAGGGTTGGCGTGTCAGTCAGATTGCACAAGGAATTCACTTGACCCTTCAGAACGTTGCCAGTCTAGAAATTAGTGCCTTGAAGTGCTTATTGCAAAATTCCCCTTCCGGAGGCAAACGATGAAGACTGTTTTGCAATATTTGCAATATTAGGGGGTTGAAATGGAGACTTTCAGCTGAAAACCACATCTTGTTGTGATCATTCTGATGCACGGTGAAGTCCTCTAGGCTTCAGCTTGTTTCAGTTCCCTCTGAAGAGTGTTTGCATCTGTACAAACACATGGTGGGGGGAAAAAAACTGCATTTTGCCTTAGCACAGGTTGAAGTTAATACAAAAATAACTGCTTGCAGTTAGAAGGGAATCTCCCACCAAGGGAGTTTTCCCCTCTTTCACCAATTTGGGTCGGTGCTTAGGCCTAACTCTTAGTTACGCAAGCCCATATCAGGTTTATCGTGCCTGGCAGTTTGCTGAGACAATCGGTGATGTAAAACAGCAGAATGTGGAAGAGCCCAGGGTGGGATTGCAGGGGCAAGGGGGTTAAAAACCAAGTCAGGATGAACCAGGGGGTTGTGAGCAATTGACCACCAACATCAGAGGCAAGAGGCGGCCCAAAAGTCACAGGGAAGGTGGCCCTGAAGCACTTGGCACCTGCCTGGTCCGTGGGCTCTAGGACGGCATCTCCTGGCATCTGGCAGGGTGGTGCAGGTACTTTGTACTTCCCAAGGGCTGCGGAATGGGGGGACGCTTCCTACATGGGAAAAATGGAATTTTAACTGGGAGACTGAGACAAGGTGGGGGCAGCTGCCTTCCCCTCAAAGATGGATGTATCCAAAAGAGGCTGAAAAAGAAGGGCGTTTTTCCTGCTAACTATTTTGAGGCTCTGATTCCTGTCTGTGGAAGTCCTTGGGTTCACAATACTAAAAAGTTAAGTTAATAAGAGAGTCTGAAATAGGGGCTGTGGAGAAGATCCCATCCCTCATTAGAGGTATTTCCTCATCAGCTGGGTTTGAAAGAAAGGAGAAGCTGACCTTAAAGATGACATTTTCCTCTGGTCGCTTCCATCATGCTGTGTTTCCTTGCCCTCACCTCTAAGCCAGCGACTTCGTGGTGCAAGAGAAGGTGAGGATGAGGGGTGCTGAGTCAGCAGTGATGCAATCACCCTCATTTCTGATTGCAATTTCCAGACTGTGTTTATAGATCTGTTTTTTTCCTTTGGTTTTTTTTTTGAGATTTGGTAATTTCAAAGGTAGAACAGGTTGGTTGGGACTCATCCAATTGAGGTTTGAAAATCTCTGAGGACAGAGGTGCTGCTTCTCTTGGGGAACCTGTTCCAGTCTTTAATCATCCTGACCAGGAAGAATTTAATCTGTCTGCCACATCAGAACTCCCCTGGCTGCAACTTGTGCCCCTTCGCTGGGCACCTCTGAGGGGAATCCCTCTCTGTCTTGTCTATCACCTCCTGCAGGGAAGACTCGCTGTTCGATTTTCCCTTTTGCCTTCTCATCCCCAAGCTGATTCCCTCTGCCCCTCCTTGCTCGCCCTGTGCTCCAACCTGCCAACCATCTCAGCGGAGCTCTGCTGGACCCCATTTGTGAATGGGTCTCTTCTCCTGGGGATGGGGTTGTGGAGGCGGGGAACCAAGTCAGCACCACAGAGGTGGCCATGCCAGTGGAAGCGGGGAGAAGAAATCACTGCCCGGGACAGGCTGGCTCCACGTTTGCTGATGTGATCAGGGTTCTATTGAGTTCTACCTCGTAACCATCTTAATACCTTCAGTAAAAAGTAAAATCCACAACTGCAGTAGGTCTCAAGGGGCGATTGATGACATTGCCCATGTTTCAGGTCTCTGCAATAGTGAAGAAATAGTCAAATACATTTTCCAGATCAATGTAGGAAAGCCCATGCCCCTTGCTATGGAGGAGGAGAGAATCACCCTGGCTTCCTTTGGGCTGGCATCCTAACCACCAGTCGTGGTCCTCGCTGATTTGACCTGGAGAGAGTGGTCTGCTCCTCCACCCATCTGACATCTGGCACGGGTACAACCACGAGCAAGACCCCGCAGCCAGGCACCTTCCAGACTTCGGTTTCACCGCATGCAGTCACGTGCCTTGCCCAGTGCCTGGTTTCTGGCTGTGGCAGTCACCAGTGTGCAAATGTGAAGTGAAAAAACCCAGCGCCAAGCAGTTCATGGGTGGCACAGGGAGATCCCTTCCTATGCCCCGCAGGTCGGCAGCGGATGCTCCGAAGCAGAGGAGCGGTGACGTTTGTGTCACAGCCAGAAAAGTGATTTGTGCTGCAGAAAAGCAACATGGCGGTGGATGGAACATGCTCTCCAAAAATGCGATACAGAGTGAGAACCAGGCATCCCTGAACCTTCCCTGATGCCCGCCCTTTTTCCAATATTTAAGTGGGCTCAGGGATTTGATTCGTACCCATAAGCTTATTCTTCAAATAGCCTGAATTCAGAGAACTTCTAGGTAGACCTTTACCTCCTGTTTTCAGTTAGATCGTCCTCTTTGCAAGCGGAATTACTGGCTCAATTTAGAGGTATTTTCACGATGGTAAACTTTTTCCTTTCCCCATGTTTCGGGTGTGTAGGGCGTGTTGGAACTCCCATTTGGATCTGTATGGTTGTTCTTGAAATGTGAAATTCATCGATCAGCAGTGGAATTTCTTGTGTGGATGGCTTGCTGTCTTGGGGTCATCCAAGACCTAACCTCAGAGCTCCACTGCCATCCCCTCCCTTTTCATCAGAGATGTAAAATATTTACACAGAAGCTTCCAAGAAATACGAGAGTTAGAATCACAGAACCATAGAATCACAGAATCGTTTGGGTTGGAAAAGCCCTTTAAGCTCATCAAGCCCAACCATTCCCCTAACCCTGCCATCCCACCACCAAACCCTGGCCCTAAGCACCTCGTCTGCCCGGCTTTTAAATCCCCCCAGGGATGGGGACTCGACCCCTTCCTTGGGCAGTCCCTTCCAGGGCCTGACAGCCTTTGCGGGGAAGGAATTTTTCCCAATGTCTAACCTAAACCTGGCCTGACGCAACTCCATGAGTTCAGTTGAAACAGTGGAGAACACTTAGATCTGCTGATTGAGCTGATGCCCCTTTCATATTTTTATTTTTTAATTATTTACTGACTGTTGAACTTAGGTAGAAATTGCAGAAAACGGAGCCAGGAAACAGGCATGCCATGGACAGCAGTCATGTTGTGAGTCACAGACTGCTGGGGGATTGATCCCACCATTCTGGTTCTATGCAATGATGTTTAATAAGCACACAACAAGCCCCAGGATTCCTTGAGGTGTACCCAATGGGTTTTTGCACCTTCCTCTTCCATGGTTCAACTGGAAGAGCAGCTCTTTTGCCTTATCCAACGGTGCGACTGGAACCCGAAGGGGAAAGCTGGGTTTGATACAGGTTTCTTTTTCTTCCTTCCCAGTCAAATCTCTACCCTACAGTGGGTCTCCAGACTCCAGGAGAGATCGTCGATGCCAACTTTGGGCAGCAGCCGTTTGTGTTCGACATTGAGGATTACATGAGGGAATGGCGAGCGAAGATCCAGAGCACCATCAAGCGGTTTCCCATAGGAGACAGACTGGGCGAGTGGCAAGCCATGCTGCAGAAGTAAGTCACTGCTCCGCTCTGCAGCTGCTTTTGCTTTCTTTGGCCTGAAATACTTCCCTTATGCCAGTTTGTGCTTTCTTAGGGCAAAACTTGCCAGTCAGTGCATTTTGCTGAAATTGTGTTCCCCTCTGTTTTGTTGTTTGAGAGCCTTCCCTGTGCAGATTGCTGCTATTTCAAATGTAAAAGGTATGGGAGGCATTTTCAGCCAAAGACTGCGTGAAAGCCTGTAGGACTGGAGGAATGTACATTTTGAGGTGATGACCTGGGAAAAGGGGATTGGAGAGGACACCGTAACAACTCTAACGTAGGAGAAAAGCTGGGACATAAGTCAGCTGCATTCAGAAATGAGAGAGCAAGCAATAGCCCAGGCCAAAGGCTCCCACACCCAACTCAGCTGGAAGCACAAGCAGAGCACTTTATACATTCATGCGGTGTTGAATGCGTTTCCCATTGCAAAAAGGCCTGAGCAGAACTTGCTGAGAACGCTTGGCAAGAGGCAGCAGAGGGCAGGTGCCTCTCCTGCCTGGAGAAAGGCAGAGCTGGCTGAAGGTGCTGCATCTGGGAGGAAGGCAACCGAGGGAGGTGCTTGGAGCTGTCTGCCAGTTGCATACACCCGCATACCCGTAGCGAGGAAGCCATTAGTCACTGCTTCTCAAAACACAAGAACTTGAGAAAAAGCACCTTCTGGCTTAAAAAAAAAAAGTAATTAAATATTTTTTTCACTAAGCATATGGTGAAACTGTGGGACTTGCTGCTCATCATGGTAGTTTACATATAATTGGATTTAAAAAGATGCACTTTTAAGTATTCACGGTAATTGTTGGAGACTGATTCTGTAATTATATTTTAAACCCCCAAATTTATGGCTGTTTCTTCTGTTTCTGATTACAGATAGCTCTGTGCTTCCCTTTTTTATTCTGTAACCTAAACACCCGATGCTGGTCACTGCCATCCAGGAGGCTCAGAGGCAGTGATGATTGCGTCCCTGCGATCATTCGTGTTTTCCTCTAGTCTTGCCTTTAATTATCTGCAGATAATTCAGGCCCACCAGCAAAGCCTTCAAAAAGCAGCTCGCAGAAGCTATGAGGAAAGAAAAAAAAAAAAAAAAAACTTTTTTCAAGAAAATCAGGAGCAGGAGGCCTGCTGGGGTCCTGTAGGGCCTCTAGAGGATTGCAGTATAAAAAGAGACCCTGGGGAAGATGAGATCATACCCAGTTGAATTCTTTGCCTGTGCGTGCAGAAACCAGAAGGGTTGTCCTGCTGGGATGCTTCTCGGCGAGGGCCTTGGCAGAGGATGGGGTTGAAGTGTCCGCCAAAGCAGCGCTGGAAGAAATAGGTGAGGGGAAGTGGAGAAAGTCTCTGGGATCAGATCTTTACCCAGTATCTGCCCAGAGTCCTACTGGAGAAAACAGGGGAGCTGTGGCTGCGGAGCAGAGCATCTCCCCAGACTGCCTTGGTTCCAGAGAAGGGGAGGATGGTGCAAATGGTGCCGTGTTTCATGAAGGATTTCAGGAGAGAGTCAGGCAGGAAGGGGCTGACAGAACCCTGATGTCTGGCTTGGACAAACCTGGAGAAGCCCTGCTGAAGGGCACTGGGCACGTCGGAGAGAAAACATGGTGGAGCTTTGCAAGGAGGAGCCAGCAGACGCGTGGGTACGGTTCTTGGGCTGCTCTCCTTGTCCTGGAAGTACAAAAGGCTTTCGGAGAAATCCTCTTGCTGTAAACGAAGGGGGCAGGATGCATCCAGGGTCTGAAGGCACATGTCCCAATGTGGACTGTGAGTTGTTTAAAAGAGACCGGAAAGGGAATGAGCGGGTAAGGGATCATCACTGTGGGAGGAGGGGACTGCAGAGAGGCATGGGTGCATGCCAGTGATGTCTGGGGTATTGAGGGTGTTCATAAACAGCTGGCAAGAAGGCAGTGGGATCTTTGGGTTACGGTGAATCATTGCACCGAAACGTAAGCTCATTTTTTTGGTAGCAAACGGGGGGAAAAAAAAAAATCCAGTATTTGTTAGGGGAAAAATAGAGGACAAACCCAGTTCTGTTACTTGGGTGAATGTGTGGTGCCCCCCTAACTTGAATACTGTGTGATGCTTCAGTGCTTGTCTCCAAAAAGGGGTAGTAGAAGCGAGAAAAGTGTGCAAAACCCTCCAGGCAGGACATGCAAAGGTATGGGGTGGGTGTAAGCCAAGGGACAAATATACAGACCCGCAGCGCTGAAGGGCATGATTGCGTCGGGTGCTGCCCCTGGGGAGGTTGAACCCCATGCACCAGCACAGGCTGGGAGCTGACCTGCTGGAAAGCAGCTCTGCCAAGAGGGACCTGGGGGTCCTGATGGACAACAAGCTGACCATGAGCCAGCAAGGTGCCCTTGTTGCCAAGAAAGCCAACAGCATCCTGGGGTGCGTTCAGAAGAGCGTAGCCAACAGGGCAAGGGAGATTCTCCTCCCCCTCTACTCTGCCCCACTGAGACCCCATCTGGAGCGCTGCATCCAGTTCTGGGCTTGCCAGTTCAAGAAGGATGAGGAGCTACTGGAGAGAGTCCAGAAGAGGGCTACAAAGATGATGAGGGGACTGGAGCATCTCCCCTACAAGGAAAGGCTGAGGGAGCTGGGCTTGTTTAGCCTGGAGAAGAGAAGGCTGAGAAGGGATCTCATCAACACGTACAAATACCTTAAGGGTGGATGTCACGAGGATGGAGGCAGACTCTTCTCAGTGGTGCCCAGCGCCAGGACAAGGGGCAATGGGCACAAACGGAAGCAGAAGAGGTTCCAGTTGAACGGGAGGAAGAACTTCTTGACTTCGAGGGTGACCGAGCCCTTGCCCAGGCTGCCCAGGGAGGCTGTGGAGTCTCCTTCTCTGGAGATATTCAAAGCCCTCCTGGATGAAGTCCTGTGCCCCCTGTTCTGGGTGAGCCTGCCTGAGCAGGGGGGTTGGTCTGGGTGATCTCCCGATGTCCCTTCCAACCCCTGCCATGCTGGGATTCTGAGAGTCTGTGATCATGAGGGGTAAGGCAGAAGTGCGAAAAAAATAGTATCTAGAATAGCCTGCAGAAGGTGCTGAAGGAACAAGTGTTCATTGTCCTGCAAAACTTAAAGGGCATCAGGTGCCGTTAACCAGATGGCACATTCAGAAAGAATAAAGGAGGGTGAGGGTTTTGTTTCGCACTCTGCCATAAGATATCAGGAAAATTGCATGGATTCAAAAAGGGACTGGAGATGTTATTAGAAAGAAAAATCTGTCAGAGCTACAATGGGGAGAGATCCACCTCTAGGACGGGAAGCAATCTGCCAAACCATTGAAAGCTGGAAGGGTTATGGGGAAAAGTAATTTCATAGGTACCTTATTCCTTTATTTTTCATTGAACGTTTGCTTTTGCCAGTTAGGAGGTACTGGGCTAACTGGGTGTTTGGTCTGAGCCAGGACGGATGCGCTTGGAGACTTAAAGCTTTGTGACATTGCCAACTTGAACGTTAATTTTCATTCCGACATGACGTGCTGGGGTCATTTCAGTCTCTGCAATGCATCTCATCAGGCTGTGGGAAGACAGGATCCACTTTTGGATCCACTTTTGGAAAGCTTGCTTAGCAGCCACAGAGAATGAAGAGGTTAATTGGTGTTCAAGTGCAGGTCCTCATTTCTTAGCACCCAGAAAGCAATGTGTTCAGGAAAAGGAGTGCAGCCTGCATCCTTGGAGGTAAGGGCGCCTGTGTTGGGTGAGAGCACTGCTCTGTCAAGCTCAGTCCTATGAGTATGTCAAAGGCCCTAGTTCCTGCAGCTCTAGAGTGTTTTTGCCTTTCCCTGGTAAAATTGACCTTTTTTTGCCACCCCATTCTTCAGCCACGTTAGACCTTCCCTTTTATCGCACAGTAACACAGAGCCTTCAAGAGGGTTTGCCAAAAGATTCTGAAATGTCTTTGGACAACCAAGCGGACTGCAGCAGATCTCTCTTCTGCCTGCTTCCAGACTGAACTCCAAAAGTGGCACCAAATCGGAGCACCACGACTCCCCTTTACACAAGCTGTGGGTTCTTCTGCAGTGGGATCAGCGTATCCCTGGGTTCGTTCCTTGTGTCTGCCAGAATTGTTTCTCCTGCCGTGCATGGCGGAGGTGTCAGGGTCACCGATCCAGAGTCCTTCATGCCTCCCTTGGGCTTCTTTGTACAGATCAGATTTTTCCTCCTCCCCATGGGCAGGCTGGGGTCAGAGCTCATCCCCATCTTGGTGGTACGGCTGTTTCAGGTTGGAGCTCCCTTGAAGCTCCTGGGACGGTCACAGAGTCACAGAATCACAGAATGGCAAGGGTTGGAAGGGACCTTGGGAGATCATCTAGTCCAACCCTCCTGCTAAAGCAGGTTCACCTCCCCATCCCATCCTGTGGCTTTGGTAGATTTTGTAATATCCTATTTAATGTCTAATCGCGCAGTTCAGCATTGTAAGATGCATCACATCATGCATTCATCTGTGCTGCGCTCCTGGATACGCTGTCACCTGAGAGGCTGATCTGACAACGGTTTTCAAGTGCTTGAAACCTGGAAAGGGGCTTGCGTGGGTAATTTGTCTTCTCTGTGTGTTATGGTCTTATGGTTTGAAGCTGCACCAGGGCAGGTTTAGGTTAAATATTAGGAAAAACTTCTTCACTGAAAGGGTTGTCAGGCTCTGGAATGGGCTGCCCAGGGAGGTGGTGGAGTCCCCATCCCTGGAGGTATTTAAAAGAAGGATAGATGAGGTGCTTAGGGACATGGTTTAGTGGTCGGGTGGCAGGGTTAGGTTAAAGGTTGGACTCGATGATCTTAAAGGTCTTTTCCAGCCAAAGCGATTCTATGATTCTATGGGATCTGTAATTTTCTAGCTCTTGCCATGAAGAATATGAGCAGGAGTCATATGAGACTGGAGATCAGCTGCTGTGGTTGACTATGGGAGGAGGAACCGTGTAGGTCCCCATTTCTGATAAAGTGGGGACTTTGTACGGTTCATTTGAGAATCTAAGCGGTACTGTGCAGAACGAGGAGAGTTCTATGGAACGTGTACAGAGAAGCGTGCAGCTGAGTTCTGGTTTGAAGAAGGAAAGCCACGGATGGTACAAGCCTCTCTGCCACCGCCGCGGCTGCTCTGGGGGAGAAGCACCCCTGGGTGCAGCAGAGATAGCTGCTCCTGCCATTTGAGCACTTGGGCTCTTAGCAAGCTTCAGCTGCAGTTCCCTGTCGTGGTTTAACCCCCAAGCTATTACTGCGCAGGCTCTTGTACTTGCTGGGGGGTTTACCTGCCTTACTGGGGTGCCCTGCGCCCGCGCAGACTCATCCCCAGGCCACAGCCCGTTCAACTCGAGGTCACACTGGATTTCCAGCTGGTCCAGCACAGCAGCAGTGCCCTGGCTGTTGGCCAGCCCAGGCCCATTGCCATGGCTGTTATCAAAATGTTCCCAGGCCCAGCACAGTGAGATGATCAGCAGCACAGTGAGATGATCAGCAGCACAGCGAGCAGCGAATGCAGCAAGCACCCACTCATAAGCGCTGGACTCTGACGTACAGCGAGGCGAGCAGCGCACCAGAGCCAGCCCTTTAACAGCGAACAGCACTAACAGCTATAAACTCAATCTGGCACATTCCAATCAAACCTGTCGTTATCTGGAACCCTTTGAGCCCCACGTTGGGCACAGAAAAGACTGGTGTGGTTTAACCCTGGCTGGTAACCGAGCCCTATGCAGTCACTTGCTCGCTCCACCCATAGTGGGATGGGGCAGAGAATGGGAAGGGTAAAATTGAGAAAACTTGTGGGCTGAGATAAAGACAGGTTAATAGGGAAAATGAAAGCTGTGCATGCAAGGAATTCACTCCCTGCTTCCCATGGCAGGCGGGGGCTCAGCCATCCCCAGGACAGCCAGACTCCATCATGGGTAATGGTGACTTGGGAAGACAAATGCCATCGCTCCCAATGTCGCCCCCTTCCTCCTTCTTCCCCCAGTTTCTGTACTGGGCATGACATCATATGGTCTGGAATAGCCCTTGGGCCAGTTGGGGTCAGCTGTCCTGGTTGGGCCCCCTCCCAGCTCCTTGTGCCTCTGGCAGAGCTGAGAGCTGAGAAGTCCTTGCCCAGTGTAAGTCCTGCTCAGCAACAACTCAACTATCAGGGTGTTATCAACATTCCTGTCATCCTAAACCAAATCCATAGCGCTGTGCCAGCCACTATGAAGAAAATCAACTCTATCCCAGCCGGAACCAGGACACTCCCGAGTGGTAAAAACTATTCCTTGAGAGAACCTGGGATTCTGAAAGGGTTTTGTTGTCTGCAGTGGACATTTTACCTAGGTCGCAGCAGAGTGTGATGATGTTCTCCCAGCCCTTCAGGAGAGGTACCCTGGGTGCAAATGTGCTGCTGAATGTTTGAGAGTGCAGTGCTGCTGTAGTAAGCAGCTGGGACCCAGAGCCGAGAAGTCATTGCTTAAAAATCAGCCTGGTGTAGCGACCAGTGTGTGACGGTGCCATGCACCCATGTGGGGATGATTCCTGTGGTGCCTTGGGCAGAAGTGGCGTAGGCAGGGATTCAGGCTCTGTGCAGCTTCGCAGAGCATTTGAATCTTCACTGGCTACTAAACTACACTGAAACAGGGTCTGGCTCTTCCCTTCCACCCCTGCCCACCGCATCCTTGTGTGCAGCATTTCAGCCTGGCTGAGCCGGGGGGGTGCGGTTCATTGTGCCTGTCTGTGCCATGCTAAGGGCTAAGGGCATGTCTTGTACCAACAGTGCTCGGAAGCACTTATTTTTAAACAAGTTTTAAAAATTCCACGCCTGCTTGCAATGTCACACCTGAAAATTATCGCTGACTCATAAAATAATTCTTTCTTAGAATCACACAACCATGGAATCGTTTAGGTTGGAAAAGCCCTTTAAGCTCACCAAGCCCAACTGTTCCCCTAACCCTGCCATCCCACCACCAAACCCTGGCCCTAAGCACCTCCTCTGCCCAGCTTCTAAATCCCCCCAGGGATGGGGACTCGACCTCTTCCCTGGGCAGCCCCTTCCAGGGCCTGACAGCCTTTGCAGGGAAGTAATTGTTCCCCATGTCCAACCTAAACCTGCCCTGGCACAACTTGAGGCCATAAACTGTACTGGAAGTAGCCAAGGTGAACATGTGTTACGAGCTGCGGCTCCATCAGATCAATGCCAGCTTCATCGTGAGAAGCCTGGCGATCCCATGCTGGCATTTCGGGTTTTGTTAGAGGTCTGGTGAGCACTAACACCTACCTGACGTACCCTGGGCAGGCCTTAGACATGGTCTGTCTGGAGAGACGCTGCTGCTGTGTTTGTTTTCTGACAGTGACACTACCTTCTTGCCTGTCATTTTTTGAAAACACAACTTAATGTTTGTAACGTCGGTGCTGGCGGTCTGCCCTTTGTAAATCAGCAGATAAAAGTGTCTGTGGATGTGTAGGACTCATTCAACTGCCAGAGATAAAATTGCTGCCAAAATAAGTGATGGAAGAAATTCAGGACCAGAACCTTTTTCTTTTTTTTTTGAGATATACTTGAAAGTCAGGAGCCTTTCCAAGGTCTGGATTTTATGTCTGGGTAGGACATCGCTGGCAGTAACACAGCACTGAGCTCTTACAAGTGACCCCTGGACAGCAGTAATAAACAAATAAACACCATGGATACAGCGGGAGGGGTTATTCTGGGGTTGGTTTTGGTTTTCTCTAAGGTGAATTTACAGCCTCCCTCCTGTCTGCTGAGGACCAGGCGCCTCTCTGGTAACTTTACACTGCCAGACCCAAAAGTAGGATCCTGGTTATGTCCTGAGCGAACTGAGTTTGGTCACTGAAATCGCAGTTTCTGTTGTGCTGATTTTTAATCTCTCTGGCGTGATTACGCTGTTTCACCAGTGCCTCTCCATCTGTTGTTTTTTTTTTTCTTTTCTTTTTTTCTAGCATGGTTTCATCGTATTTGGTTCACCACGGGTACTGTTCGACAGCCACTGCCTTTGCCAGAGTCACAGACACCACAATCCAGGAAGAGCAGACCTCAATAAAGAACAGACAAAGTAAGTCTCTGGGGCAGGCGTGCCCCAGGTGTGGCACACTGGCTGTGTGTCGTCTTCAGGGCTGCGCAGAGAAAGCTGAGTGCGTGGCAGCAGGAGGGTCACCCCACGGCAGTACAAAGCCGTCCGCAGCATGCTGCTGACTTGGCGTCGCTGCCCGTCGGTCCAGAGAGCTCAGGGACCCCGGCTGGGAGTGCTTTTCCCATCGCCGCTCTGCCTCCTCCACCCTCTGCCGCCTTTCTTTGCCCGGAGAACTGCTCTGTCCTTGCCTTCACCTGCCCACTCTGGCGTGGCCTGCATGCCCAGCAGCGCTCAGTGGGCTATGGTGCCTGATCTGCTTGGTTGATCTTCCTCGACCTTGTCAAAAATGAGCGGTAGGCTCCTCGAAGAGGTGGGGTGACCCTCAGCTTTGAGTCCAGTGCTTTCACACATCAGGGCAGAAAGCACTTTCCAGGAGGTGGTGCCAAATTGGTGGAGGAAAGAACTGGTTGCTTTGGATTTTACCTGAGCTGAGGTCTCTGCGCACCAGAGAACCATTTGGATTTGGGTTCCCCAGCATGGTCTCTTGCGGTGGGGGCAGTGTCATTAGCACAGTCACAGGGACCCGGGCACATTGATCTGGTTTGACTGCAGCTCCCAGAGCTAACAAGTCTTCCAGTCCCTTTGCACGTTTTGTCTTCAGGTGAATTTTTTGCATACTAAGGGGTTTGCAGATTCACAGCCAACGTGTTTAGCTGGCGCTAGGTGAGGAATTTGCATTCTGTGTCTGGTTTGGTTACTGCTGCTTCCTCCCAAGTGGTTCCTCACTTGGTCGGTACAGCTGTAAGAGCTTTTGGTTCCTGCGGAATAAGGCTCACAGCTTTCTCCAGCTCTACTTTTTGCTTTTAGCTTTTCTGTTCACAGGCTCAGACTGTGAGTCAGGGAACGTTTGCATGTTCTCTGCATTCTCCTGGCTGCTGAACACAGGTTGTGTCCCGCTCTCTGCATTCCCTTCCCTTTGTGAGCCACTTCTCACGTGGATGTTAAGTGCCAGGAACACCGTGCCCGCTGCAGGTCCCTCTCCACACGTTCCATACGCTTAGCCAGCGCCCCGGTTTGTACCCAAAACAACTCGTAGCTGCTGCCTGTTAATGCTGATGGGCTCTGTGCTTCCAGGTCACACGTTACGCTGCCCTGACCCCAGCCAGCGCTCTTGCTGGTGTGGTTTTAACTGCCAAAGCCCGACAGGAGGCACATGAGGCAGCGCAGGCTTCTGTGTCAGAGAGCAGATGATGAGGCGGATGGAGGGAGGGAATGCAGAGCTCTGAGGTTGGGGCTTAAATAGGGGCGACGAGGAAAACACAGGTGGGAGACCAAAAAGAGGAGGGAATACAAAAGGCAGTGACATGCATGCGAGGTGCCAAACAAGGCCAGGAGGGGAGCTGCCGAAAGCAGCCAGCACAGGAATGGACGTGCCAGTCAGTAAAAAAAACAGTAAAATGGAGGAGGCTCTGCAACACGCGTTGGCGTGAGAACCACGTCTTTGGGCTTAGCTTCCAGCTACGATGACAAGCACATAGACACCAAGAAGGGGGAGCCAAGGCAAGTCACCACAGATTGTGACGGGGGCTCGCTAATGAGGGTCACCGGGCTGGGCTTTCAACTGCTCGGCTTGCCAAGCACCTTGCGGGCGATTCCAAACCTCCTCCCTGCTGTTGGTAAGGAGCCCTGGAAAAGCGGAGAGGGAAGTGCAATGCCTTTTTCATTTTAAACACATTTAGAAAAAAAAAAGTGAACCTCTGTAGATCAGCAGCTTCTCTGAGCGCTCAAGGGGCAGAATCTCAAGTCTTGCCCTTGTGTCTTCTGACCCACCAAAGGAACATAGGTGGGACAGGAACACCCAGGGAGATGGATGGCTCCTGCCTTGCATCTCTGCGCCTCCTGGAAGCGTACGACTTGTCGAGCTGTTTCCAGCTTAGTCTGTGGCTGATTCCCGGAGCTAGCACATGGGTGCCAGTCCTCATTGCAGGTCAAGTTACTTCCCTGGGAATATTGAGGTGGGACTTGCAGGAACCTAGCTTTGTCGGTGTAATTACTTCTACTTAGAGGTAAGGACATTGGGAAACAGCGTGGTGCTGTGGTTTGAGCCCACAGACCCTCCAAGAACACTCTGCTTATCTGATGCTCAGCCGTGCCTCTGTGAAGCAGCCAGAGGCTGTAATGCAGGGGTGACCCAGCAGCTTCCCCTCTGAAATTGTCATTTCCCCAGCAGCCTCCTTGCTCCCCACTGGCTCTCCTGTCCTGCTTTTCCATTGCTGCATAGCTCTGCAGCTGAAGGACCACAGTCCCAGAGCACCCCAGCACAGCTGCTTCGTTTTGCAGATCCTTCTACCCTTGCTGTTTCTGAGCTGCGAACAGATTCTCCCTCGTTCTCATGGGCTTTTCCTCCTCCATAACAAACAGAACGTGGTCCCCAGTCCTCCCTAGCCCTCGTGAAGGTGGCAGGGGGCAGCTGCATGGCGTATGTGAGACAGCTCCTCTGGCCACTCTTGCTGGCCGGTCCTGTGTGCCAATAGCTCTCCATCCTTTTGCTTTCAGGAATACAGAAGCTCGTATTAGCAGGCAGAGTGGGAGAGGCTATAGAAGCCACCCAGCAGCTCTATCCTGGCCTCCTAGAACACAACCCCAACCTGCTCTTCATGTTAAAGTAAGTATGCATGGCTTTGTACCCCCTAATGCGTGAGATGATGGAGGAAAGAAAGAGGCTGCCCGGCCGCCCAGTCCAGCTGGGCGCCTTGCTCTGAATTCAAACTCTTTGAGATGCCTTTGGGAGCAGTGGGAGAGGACGCAGGCTCTGTCCTTTGCACAGTGCTCGTGGCTGCTCCTCGGACCCTCTGGGGCTTTACCTCGTGAATTGAGGTGGAGGTGGATCCTCCCAGCCCCCTGTGTTGTGCAAGGCCAGTTCCCAGTAAAGCTAAACAGGGAGCTGTTCCCACTGTCATGGTGTGTGTTGCATTTTTTACCCTTCCTTGTCTATTTGCTGTTGGCCACCAGTATTTCTAGGTTGTTGGAGTAGTGGGGGAACAGTGATGTTGGGCAGATATAGTGTCTTCTCCCTGGGAAAAACCGCCACGATTTGGTTTTGGAATGCCTGCCAAGGTGGCGGAGATGAAAGCATGCTGTAAAGGAACAGCTTCTTCTTAGCACAATGGGAATGACATGCGTTTTGGGAATGCCTCGCTGTTCATTAGCATCAAGGCTGCAGTTTCTGAACTCCTTCCTCCCGTAGCATTGTCAGAGCACTCGCAATACGGAGGTACCAGGAGTCTGGAACGTGTCTTTCAAAGCCAAGAAATTGAAGCCCTAGGCCTTCTCCACTCAGTAAGGAGGAAAACCTCAATGCGGAGCATCCTGGCTGTCACGCGCCCTTTTCTCCTTCTTCCCTCCTATGAAACCAGGTGCCGGCAGTTCGTGGAGATGGTGAACGGGACAGACAGTGAAGTACGTTGTTTCAGTGCCCGCAGCCCCAGGTCCCAGGACAGTTACCCCGGCTCCCCCAGCTTAAGTCCTAGACATGGATCGAGCAACTCCCATGTCCATAGTACCGGTAAGTGTGGTTTCTGTGCCTGCTGGCAAGAAGAGTAAACGTTAAGGGTCACCTGCTGTCCGTTGCCTGCTACTTTCTGTACATTATTGCTATGAAATGCTCCTCTGCTCTCTGACAGCCAGCTAAGCAGACTCACTGCTGTGGTGGGTGTCTCTGTCCTGTTACAGAATTGGGTTTGCGTTGGTTATTGCCCACAGACAGTTGTCTGCAGAACAGATTATTTTCAGAATGAAGAAGCTTTTGAAGGTGGCCTTCTAGCACAGCCACCAGTGGTGTGGTGACTGAGCTGTAAGGAGGCGTGGAAGGCAAAGCCTGCTTCGTGGGCCTTGGGGTTTGCAAAGGAACTGCTTTCTGGTAAGGACCAAGCAGAAGATGCACTGTTCTGGCCAACAGCACAAGGGGGGTGGGATGCCTTGAACGAGAGCTGCTTCTTCTCCAATGAGTTCGACCTTGCAAGCTTGAAATGTGAGAAGGGAATGGTTCTGCAAACCCCATCTCTGAAACATCAATTCTGTGCACTTCGGGAAGTGAAACTTTAGGATTTGAAGTGGAAAGAAGAAGATAAACCAGGACACCCAGGCTATCTTCCCCAGGAATTATTGAGTAGAGCTGTGAAGACAGAGTGGGCCCGGGAGTATGATCTGCAGGGCCCCTGAAAACAGCCTGAGCCACTTCCCTGAGCCTCGTGCTGCTCACAGCCATCTGAGTGTAAGGAAGGGAATGACCTAAACGCCTCCAAGCTGTCACCTTCCCAAGCCAGGATCTTTGTGTTCCTATACTGCATTGTGAGAAAAGCTGGGCATGTGTCTGACTTGATAGAATGGTCTCACCAGGCCATAAAAGCTCCTGGTAAGACATGGTAGATGCTGACGTAAAGAAACCTGCAACGCAAGGCAGCATTCATATATGGAATTGTAGAATGGTTTGGGTGGGAAGGGACCTTTAGGGTCACCCAGCCCAACACCCTTGCAGGGAGCAAGGACACCTTTAACCAGACCAGGTTGCTCACAGCCCCACCCAACCTTGTCTTGAATGTTTCCTCCACCACTGGTCTGGGCAACTTGTGCCAGTGTTTCACCACCCCTTGCTGTAAGAATTTCTTCTTTAGTCTAAATCTCCCTGCTTTTAGTTTAAAACCATCGCTCCTTGTCCTATTGCAACAGGCCCTGCTAAAAAGTCTGTCCCTATCTTTCTTAGAAGGCTGAATGGCCGCAATCAGGTCTGCCCACAGCCTCCTCTTCTCCAGGCTGAACAACCCCAACTCTCCCAGCCTGGCCTCATAGCAGAGGGGCTCCAGCCCTTGGATCATTCCCATGGAGGCCTTGCTCCAGCAGGTCCCTGCCTGTCCTGTGCTGGGGACCCCCGAGCTGGACACAGGGCTCCAGAGGGTCTCACCAGAGCGGAGCAGAGGGGCAGAATCCCCTCCCTCGACGCTGGCCACCCTACTGGGGATGCAGCCCAAGGTAGGGTTGGCTTCTGGGCTGCCAGCGCACGTTGCCGGCTCACTTGTCCCTCAGTACCCCCAGGTCCCTCTCGGCAGGGCTGCTCTCCATCCCTTCGTCCCCCAGCCTGGATGGATGCCAGGGGTTGCCCCTGCCCCCACCCAGGAGCAGGACCTTGCACTTGGCCTCGTTGAACCTCACGAGGTTCACATGACCCCACCTCTCCAGCTTGCCCAGGTCCCTCTGGATGCCATCCCGTCCCTCAGGCGTGTCAGCCGCACCGCTCAGCTTGGGGTCATCTGCAAACCTGCTGAGGGTGCCCCCGATCCCGCTGTCTGTGTCACTGATGAAGATATGGAACACAGCACCGGTCCCAGTATAGACCCCTGATGGACACCACTTGTCACCGGTCTCCATCTGGATATGGAGCCCTTGACCACTGCCCTCTGGATGCGACCATCCAGCCAATTCCTCATCCACTGAACAGTCCAGCCATCAAACCCATAGCTCCCCAGTTTAGAGAGAAGGATGTTGGGGGTGCTGTGTCAAAGGCCTTACAGAAGCCCAGACAGTCGACAGCCGTAGCTCTTCCCTTGCCCGCTGATGCCATTGCTCCATCATAGAAGGCCACTGGGTTGGTCAGGCAGCACTGGCCCTTGGTGAAGCCGTGCTGGCCATCTCAAATCCCCTCCCTGGCCTCCATGTGCCCCAGCACAGCTTCTGGGAGCTTCTGCTCCATGGTCGTCTCCCAAGGCGGAGAGGTGAGGCTGACAGGGCGGGAGTTCCCAGGTTCCTACTTTTGATCCTTTTTAAAGATGAGCACAATGCTTCGCTTCTTCCAGTCCCCAGGACTTCACCTGACTGCCAGGACTTTCCAAATATCATGGAGAGTGGCTTGGCAACTACATCAGCTCCATCCACACCTTGGCCTTCCTGATCCCATCCCTACACAACTGGGCAGCGTCCCTATACTCTTCCCAGGGTGCCTGTCCCTGCTTCCACTGCCTGTGCAGTTCCCTCTTCCTCCTTAGTTTGACCAGCATCTCTTGTCTCAACCTTCCCTTCTTTGCCCGATTTTTTTATACCTAGGGATCGAGAGCTCTTGTGCTCTGTGGATCACATCCTTAAAGATCTGCCAGCTCTGTTCTGTTCCCCTGTCCCTCAGGACCATTTCCCAGGGAGTCATTCTGACTATCTCCTTGAAGAGCTGGGAGTTTGCTTTCCTAAAATTCAGGGTCCTGACTATACTTTTCGTTATTCCCATATCCCTCGGGAGCGTGAACTCCACTGGCATGTGATCACTGCAGCCCAGGCTGCCTCAAATCTTGACATCTCCAATGAGCTCACTTGCACTGGTGACCACCAGGTCCGGTATCGCATCCCCTCGGGTAGGGGTGTCTATTACCTGGCTTAAGAATTTGTCCTCAATGCATTCCAGGAATCTCCTGGATTGCTTACAGCTCGCTGTGCTACTTGTCCAGCAGATGTCGGGGTGGTTGAAGTCCCCCAGTGGGACAAGAGTCTGCAAGCGCGAAGCTACCTGGAGTTGGAGGAAGAAGGCTTCATCAGTCGGCTCCTCTTGATCCAGCGGCCTGTAGTAGACACCAACCACTAGGTTCCCTGTGTTGCCTCTCTCTGATTCTCACCCATAAGGTTTCAACCTGCTTGTGGCTATTCTTCAGGGACAGCTCTTCACAACCTATCCATGTCTTGATGTAGAGGGCAACCCCTCCGCCCCTCCTTCCCCGCCTGTCCCTTCTGAGCAGCCTGTAGCCATCAGCAGCCGCACTCCAGTCAGGGGATTCATCCCACCAAGTTTCTGTAATGGCAACCAGGTCATAGTTTTCTAGCAGCATGGTGGCTTCCAGCTCCTCCTGTTTGTTGCCCACACTGCATGCATTGGTGCAGAGGCACTTCAGGTGGGCTGTCAGCCAAGTCACCTTCCTAGAGGAACACCCCGGAATGCCTTTGAGGTGTTTCACTGGTGTTTCCCTGGTGGCTCCTAATACCTCCAGAGCCCCTGGCTCATCTCTGTAAGACTTAAGCCTGCTGCAGTGTGGGGGCCCTTGCTAGCACCCTATCCCTCTCACCTGGGCACATCATCCCACAGCTTGTCATAGGCAGGCCTGGTATCATCCCCCATCCGCTTCAGGTCTAATTTAAAGCTCTCGTCAGTGAGCCCCGCTAATTCGTGAGCAAAGACCCTTTTGAGAAAGGTGAATCCCATCCGATGCCAGCTGGCCTGGTGCTGTGCAGGCCATCCCGTTACCAAAGAACCCCAAATGTGAGGGTGACACCAGCTGCGGAGCCATGTGTTAATAGACTGGGTGCATGTCTTTCTTCCAATGTCACTGCCCACCACTGGGAGAGAGGAAAAAATGACCCATGCTCCAGATTGCTGGGCCGGCCACCCCAAGTCCCTGAAGGCTCTTTTGGTCGCCCTTGGACTATGCATTGTGGCTTCATCGCCACCCACATGGAGGAGCAGTAGTGGGTCGTAGTCCAAGGGCCATACCAGGCTGGGAAGTTTCCCAGCGATGTTCTTACCCCGGCGCCGGGGAGGCAGCAGACTGCCCTAAGAGGAGGGTCTGTCTGGTGTGCGGGCCCCTCTGGTCTCCTCAGAAAGGAGTCACCTACCACTATAACCCCTCTCTTCATCCTCATGGAGGTGGTCGTGATATGGGCATGGGCATTTCTGACCCTGGCAATGCCTCCGGTGTAGCTGGACCATCGCCCACATCACCCACGGACTGGCCCTCCACATCCAGAGCCTCGTACCTGTGGTGCTGAGGCACCTGGGCGAGCAAGGTGGGCAAGGTGAGGGTTTGCCCGCTGCCCCCAGCCTGGACTTGCTTCCGTTTCACTCCCTTCCGTTAAGTTCCTGCCTTCAGCCTGGTGGGGAGAGCATATGCGACCCCCTTCATCCTGGGTTTTTCTCGCGGCTGCCCCTGCTTCTCTCTTGGGGAGGCAGAGCGTGGTTCCACCATGTTCTCAGACCCCTTGGTGCTCGTTACCCTTTCTACTGCCTCTTATAGCTCTGCCACCAAGCAGGTTGTCCAGCTGGTCCCCAATCCCATGGCTGTTCTCGCTGCTGCCGTCGTTCCCAGCAAAAGGCTCCGGCATGCCCGGCAGCCCCAGGCCTGCCTGGCCATGTGTTCCCATGGCAGCTCCATCTGCGTTGCTGCATCTGTTCTGGCAAGCACAGAGGACGTAACTTCCTGGCATGGCTTTACCAGAGCTTAACTCCTTCGGAGAAGGTGATGGCCACCAGCTGAACTCGCCCCCTGAGCCGGTAGGGTGACTCTCCTCCTGGTGATGCCCACTCTCCTGAACCAGGGCTATCAGCTTGTGATTTTCAAGGGGATTGTTGTTATTTGCCAAATGTCACATGAATCGAGCCTATCCCTAACGTAAGGTCGGTTGGGGAAAGCCTAGGATGTTCTGCATGCAGAGAGTTGCCTAGTTTCCACTTGTGCTTCCATAGCTTTCCTGGATGGAGGCTTTATGACATACATTTGGGTTGGTGAGAGGAGAGTTTGCAAAGAATGATGACGTTAAGATCTGCAGGGTTATTTTGGGGAATATATATTATTATTTGAGGAATATCTGTATATAACATTTGCTTTGGGGAAGCTAAATTTAGCTTTAATTTGAATTTAGCGAGCTGCTCTGGCTGATTGTCGACCTCACAGCAGCGTGCTCCTGCCAGCCTGCTCTCATTTTCCCCTTTCTCTTTGGCTTTCAGGAGCAGATAGTCCGACCTGTAGCAATGGAGTCATGTCCACAAAAAGCAAACAGAGCCACAGTAAATACCCAACGCTGAGTTCATCGTCTTCATCTTCCTCCTCCTCCTCCCCCTCATCTGTGAACTACTCTGAGTCCAATTCTACAGATTCCACCAAATCTCAGCAGCACAGTAGTACGAGTAACCAAGAAACCAGGTATTTTTTTTCCTTTAAAGATGACCGAGGGGGAGGTGGTGGGAGAGGGCTCAGGCTGCTTTCGGAGGAGCAGCAGGGCATCTGTCCTGCTCTTCTGAACAACGGTATAGCTCTTCAGATCTACAGGGTCGCTACTCCCTAAACTGGGGAGCTATGGGTTTGATGGCTGGACTGTTCGGTGGATGAGGAATTGGCTGGATGGTCGCATCCAGAGGGCAGTGGTCAAGGGCTCCATATCCAGATGGAGACCGGTGACAAGTGGTGTCCGTCAGGGGTCTATACTGGGACCGGTGCTGTGTTCCATATCTTCATCAGTGACACAGACAGCGGGATCGGGGGCACCCTCAGCAGGTTTGCAGATGACCCCAAGCTGAGCGGTGCGGCTGACACGCCTGAGGGACGGGATGGCATCCAGAGGGACCTGGGCAAGCTGGAGAGGTGGGGTCATGTGAACCTCGTGAGGTTCAACGAGGCCAAGTGCAAGGTCCTGCTCCTGGGTGGGGGCAGGGGCAACCCCTGGCATCCATCCAGGCTGGGGGACGAAGGGATGGAGAGCAGCCCTGCCGAGAGGGACCTGGGGGTACTGAGGGACAAGTGAGCCGGCAACGTGCGCTGGCAGCCCAGAAGCCAACCCTACCTTGGGCTGCATCCCCAGTAGGGTGGCCAGCGTCGAGGGAGGGGATTCTGCCCCTCTGCTCCGCTCTGGTGAGACCCTCTGGAGCCCTGTGTCCAGCTCGGGGGTCCCCAGCACAGGACAGGCAGGGACCTGCTGGAGCAAGGCCTCCATGGGAATGATCCAAGGGCTGGAGCCCCTCTGCTATGAGGCCAGGCTGGGAGAGTTGGGGTTGTTCAGCCTGGAGAAGAGGAGGCTGTGGGCAGACCTGACTGCAGCTGTTCAGTGCTTAAAGGGTGCCCATAGGAAAGGTGGGGACAGACTTTTTAGCAGGGCCTGTTGCAACAGGACAAGGAGCGATGGTTTTAAACTAAAAGCAGGGAGATTTAGACTAAAGAAGAAATTCTTTACAGCAAGGGTGGTGAAACACTGGCACAAGTTGCCCAGACCAGTGGTGGAGGAAACATTCAAGACAAGGTTGGGTGGGGCTGTGAGCAACCTGATCTGGTTAAAGGTGTCCCTGCTCCCTGCAAGGGTGTTGGGCTGGGTGACCCTAAAGGTCCCTTCCCACCCAAACCATTCTATCATTCTATGATGGAAATGGGCAATGGGTAGCAGTAGCCCAAGGAAATGACTCAGGAGGGCAACGCAACGAATCATAGAATGTTTTGCGTTGGAAGGGACCTTTGGAGGTCACCCAGCCCAACGTCCAGACGAGTCTGAAGTGGCAGTTCCGTGGCCTTTGGAAAGCCTCCCTTCTCCAGGAAGCTGTAGGCAGTCTGGGCCCCTACGTCTGCATTCACCAGAGTGGGGAGCACACTGAGCTGTGGCGAGAAGCCAGCTTCCCTTGGGCTCTCAGGTTGGTGGTGCAGGGCTGCCTGAGGCCCTGCTGGAGCAGAGGACGTCCCTGCCACAAGCAGAATCTCTTCTGCAGGGCAGTTTGTGTTCTCTATCGTGACCTCCCCAGAGCTGTCACTGAGCGGGAATCGCTCGTGCAGGCTCCATTTACCAGGATCATTTGATAGTGCTGGGTTGATGATTCTTTTGGTTTTTAAATATAGAGCCCAAGTCCCAGCAGGATTTTCTCATCATTGCAGTTAATCAGCAGTCTCATCCAGGCTGCTGCTCTGAATGTTTAAGCCCAGAGCCCTTGTGTGTTTTGCACTGCACTGTTTGTGAGGGTCGGCACCTTGCCACAGCCGAGATCTCCCCCCTGTGTCCTATGTCATGTGTTAATGCTGTCCCAGAGACGGCCACTGCCTGGAGGGGAGGTGATAAGCACTCTGCACCTGTAATTACAACAGGCACTTTCCTAACAGAAACCTGTTTCACAAATCTCCTTCAGAAGCCTGCAGCACTGAATTTTTGCTGTGCTGAATGAGGCCACCCGGCTTCCCATCGTCTAACTGGCACCTTTCCTCGTTTACTGGCTGCTGCTGGGCATCACTTGGCACCTGAACTCTGCGTTTCTTCCCTTCCTAATTCAGACTCCTGACCTTTCCTTCCTCCCTCCACCCCAGTGACAGCGAGATGGAAATGGAGGCCGAACATTACCCCAATGGAGTGCTGGAAAATTCATCCACCAGGATCATGAATGGCACCTACAAACACGAAGAGATCCTGCAGACGGATGAATCCAGCATGGGTAGGGCCTCGGGGGCAGGAGGAGCAAAGGGAAATAGGAAGAGCTGGTATCGAGGGTTAGAATTGTGATTGGTTGTGGGGAGGAAACACGCGCTTTGGATTTCTTTCCCCACCCCAGTGAATGAAGTTCTCCAGATGCTCACTTCACAGGGAAAAAGGAACCTCTCCTGGAACTAAAGCCAGGTCTGGCTTCCCATAGTCTCGCAGCGGTGCTGGTGGTGGTGTGGAGCAGGGAGTGCAACAGGAGCCAAAGGTTTGGTCATGAATTCCCACTCAGAGAAGTCCTGGCACTTCTTCCAGCAGAGGAACCGAGCACTGAGAGGCTGGCCGGTGCCACCCAGCCCGGTCTGGTCAGCCATGGCTGCCTTGTCTGGGGGTGCGTTAGCTGGGAGGGAGGGGAAGAATTGGCTACGCTCCCTCTGAAACTGGGGATTCCTCCAGTTACAATGGGTCTTGTGGCCATCTAATACTGGGGGGTGTTGTCATCTCTGACTGAAAGTTTTCCAAGTCCAGGATTTGTTAGGCCAGGGGTTTCCATGTTGGGTACGCTGTGTCACGCGTGCTAAAGGGTAACACAGACAGAGTTGCAAGCTCTCGTGACTTTCTCAGAATACCTCATTTGTAGGTAGTCCTCAGGCATTAAACAAACTGAGCTGAAGTTTTCCCCACACCTAACGGTTGCTCTAAACCCCGCTGCTGGCTGTTGCAGTGCAACGATCAGGAAAAGCTCCCACTGGGATAAACTTGGAGCAGGGAACAGCGGCCTGCTCTGGGAGGGGAAGGAGTCCATGGCAGCATAACGCGGAGCAGGCAGTGGTGGGGAAGGAGGGATGATTTACTTCTCTGCTGCCTTTCCTCTAGAAGACGGCTGCCCCCCGAGGCAGCTCTGTGGAGGGCACCACGCTGCCACAGAGCGGATGATCCAGTTTGGACGGGAGCTGCAGATGCTGAGCGAGCAGCTTTGCAGAGAATACGGGAAGAACACAATGCACAAAAAGATGCTTCAGGTAAGGCCGGGCCTTGTGCTGCACTGCAGGAGGGAAGCCCGCAGAGACTGGGTCCTCCTGCTCTGATCCTCTTTTGGCTCCCTTCCTTGGGTCCTCCTCAGCGCTGCTTCCAAGGATGCTCCTCCGGGCCAGGGCTAGGGCTGGGGCTTCTCTTGCACAGCTCCAGGTGGCCCCCACTTCTGTGTCTGGTGAGGAAGGAGGGGGCCTGCGTGGGGATTGGAGGCCAAAACTCAGTGAGCGTGGAGCATCAGCCCCAGTTCTTGGCACAGGAGAGACACGTACAGCCCCCGCTTGCCTTCACTCTTCTCCTCTCAAGTGATCCTCGACCACGCTGGCTCCCCCGCCAGAGGGAGGGGGCACCCTCTTTAACCCCCTCTCTTGATGGCCCAGTGTGGTCCCTTGCTGCCATGTCACCCATCACCTTGGCAAAGGCAGGAGGTGCCCCCACAGACAGACTCAGTGGTTTTCCAGCACGTTTGTGCCCATGCATGACCTCACTGTGCCTCTCTGCTCTCTCTTGCAGGACGCGTTTAGCTTGTTAGCTTACTCAGACCCGTGGAACTGCCCTGTTGGTCAACAGCTGGACCCGATCCAGAGGGAACCTGTGTGTGCTGCTCTTAATTCCGCTATATTGGGTAAGGCTCCATTCCTGGGTGAGCGCTCCCACTGGACAGACCGGCTCTCAAGGGCTGGCCTGTGAGCCTTAGGAAAAGCTCGGGAATGCTTGTGTTCAGCTTTTGCCCCTCTTTCTCTTGCTGGGGACTGCGAGGAGGGAAGGAAGCCTGTAGAGAATGGATCCTCCTGATCTTCTTTTGGCTCCTGTCCTTGGGTCCCCCTCAGTGCTGCTTCCAAGGATGCTCCTCGGGATTTTCTTCCCCTGAGGAAGCCAAGATGTCTTCGATGCATTTCCTGCCCCTCTTCCTTCTTGCTCCAAACCCACCTGAGTCATTTCACTGACCTCAGCAGGTCTTTTTGACGTGCGGTGTGGGTCAACAGAGTTTTGTCCTGGCATCCTCCTGCTTTCTGGCAGGGAATGCAGTCGCTGTCGCAGCAGCTTGTGAGTGAGGCCGCTTTCCATAGTGTCGGCTCTAAAGCAGAGTGGGGGTTAAATCCAGTTACCTTTGAGCTCACATTGGACATGCAGGGTTGAAGGGGTCTGTCCTCCCTTTGAGCATTGCCCCCCGTGTGTTCCTATCGTGTGCTACGCCTGCTAGAGCCCAGAGCCTGGCTGCCTGCAGCCCAGTGGTGAAACCAGGGCTGTGCTATGGTCCTGCCCTGCTGCTGTTGCTCCTTCTGGCTGTAGCGGTGCTGAGAGGGCCCCTCTCTGCACAGAGATCTGGCCATAGGTTGGGTTTCTCCAGCTAGCAAGACAGCTCCCACTTCTAATGAGCTTTGCTCTTCGTGTCCACAGGATGGGTCATGGTTGGATCCAGGTATGAGGAGTCTCTTGCCCTCCTCTCTGTCCTCAGAGCTGAGTGTCTATGCCTGCTCTTCCCTTTGCCTGCTCTTCCCTTTGCCTTAAGCGAGCACCTTCCTTGGCCTAACGGCTTGTTGTCATTTGCTCTCCTGCCTTGAATCTGGTGTAGTAAATGCAGGAGCTTTCCCCGATGGAAGTCTTGTGCTTGCAGTGTTGTTGCTGACCATTCAGGCACCTGCAGCTACAGAAAGTCCCACGGTGGAGAAATGGGTGCAGTGATGATGAGGCTATGGCCTGCCACTGGTCTGCAAGGAAGGGACCGTCCTGTTCTAGGCAGGGCCCTTGCTCCCGTCACCTCACCCCGTGCCTGCTGCGTCATTGCTCAGATGACTTCACTGGGTGCTCCCCAGCCTGGGTTGTCTCAGCCCATCTGCGGCTGGCAAACACTGCCCGCTGGGCAGCCTCTCTGTATTGGAACCCCCATCACCTCCCATCCACAGTCTTGCTCACCATGCCCAGGCGTATTTCCTAGTGGGCGTGCACACCTCTCCAAAGGAGATCTGGAGATCACCTTCTCGGGGAGGGAACAGCTTGATGGCCAAACCTGTGAGGGCTCCTGTTCTGTCTGGGCAAAGGAGCAGAAGTGATAGGATTTGGGAAGAGAATCCCTTCCCCCAGCAGCCAGCGTGGGCAGGAGTCCAGCAGGGTGGCTCCGTTCAGCTGGTTTTTGTCCAGTGCTTGAGGAGCATGGACAAGTTGCTGAGAGTGTCACCAGGAAGGCGCGAAAGACATGTCTGGACGTGCTGTGTCACACAGGCTGCAAGACACCTTGTGTAGCTCAGCTGAGGATGCCCTCTTGCGTACGTAGCAAATGTGAGGTTGAAGAGAAGCAGCAACCGGGGCATGAGTTTGCCTGGAGTGTGGGCTGCTGGAGAGATGGAGAGGTGGTCTCTCACTTGATGCCAGCTACTCCTGCCTCTCCTTACTCTTCCGTGCTTTGAGGGTCTCCTGGCTGACGCCGAGGTAGTGGGAGCCCCGCCACTGCCACCACAGCAGCACTTTCTCGAAGGCCCCAATGAGCTGCATCCCCGCGTGGGACGTGCTGTGGGCGGTGGGGCATGCAGAGGAGCCAGCGCTGCTCGGGAGTAGCTTCCTCCCAGACCCAGCACCACCTGCTAGGGATACCAGGCTCAGTGCCCGGGCAGAACCAAGAGGGACCCGAGTGCAGGTGAGCCCACATGCAGCCGGGGCGCCTCTTCTAAACCGATTTCTTTTTTTGCCCCCACAGAATCTCAGAACCTGCCAAAGCAGCCCCCGCTGATGCTTGCCCTGGGCCAGGCCTCGGAGTGTTTGCGGCTCATGGCTCGCGTGGGCTTGGGCTCCTGCTCCTTTGCCAGAGTAGACGACTATTTGCACTAGCCACCAGAGCAAGACGGAGTTGACATTGTTGAGTGGTGCCCTTCACCCTCCGTCGCTGCCACTCTACGCCACCACCTCGTCCGATAGCCTGACCTCCCTGCCACCAACACCCCTAGCACACACACAGACACACAGACACAGACACACAGACACTGCCTGTGATGGGGCGGAGCGGGCCCCTTGCTGCGTGGCTCCTCCTGACCCCAGGGACAACCGACGGGTCTCCCCCGTCTCCCTGCCATTGCTGCAGCTCCGGTGGCACTCAGTATTTCGCTGGTTATTTTAATGTAGCGCCTGCCGACGTAGGGATTTCTCTTTACTTTGAGTTGAGTTGTTTCTCATGGACCCACCGGGATTTTACCTGGAGAGTGTTGCTGAGCTGGTTTCTGCTGATTTACGGAGGGAGCTCGTCGGGTTGGTGACAGCTTGTGCTTTTCTTCCCTTCCCCCTCCATCATGCACATACAGCATCACCTCCTGTGCTAGTTACCTGAACTCTTCTCGCAGTGGCAGTTCAGAGGGATTTTTTTTTATTTTATTTGAATCCTGTTTATTAAAAAGGTCTCTTCCACCTCCACAAAGTCACTGACTTATTTATTGCCCACAGACTTGGTCCCAGCCCTGCAGAAGGGGGTAGGTCCTGTCAGGCACTATCGATGACAGCGGGAGGAGCTTGGTCCTTCCTGGTGCCCACCTTCAGGAGCACAGGGCTCCCCAGCGTTTGCCTTTGCCTGTGGGAAGACCAGAAGGCTCAACATCGCTTACATTAGTGGCTGCGCTGTGGAAGCATCGCACAGCCCTGAGCAATCAGTACATCCAGTGCTGGCAGCAGCTGGAGGGACAGGAGGGACGGATATGACATCATCTGCCGCGGTATGGGTGGCAGCAGCTTGCGTTGGCCTGTGAGAAATGCCTGTGGGGGCTGCCCCATCGGGCTCTTGGCCTTTTGTGTTAAACCATGGATCCCCCTTTCCTCTGTAGCGGAGGGCTCTGTTGCTAGGGCTCAGCAATCACAGTGTTTACCGACCCCTCCACCTAACGCAGATCCAAGTAAGCACCTCTGAATTGTGGAAGCATCTCAGGAACACTGGCGTGAGCCATGCGCAGGCCAAGGCTGGGCTGCAGGCTGGGCTCTGTGCTAGCTGCACCAGGTCTGAGCTGGGCAGAGGGGAGTGGCAATGTTTCTTTAGGGATCCTTACAAAAGTTATTTTAGTTTCAGGTCCAAAAGCGACCAGCGAGGATCTGGGGGTGAGCAACCTCCAAGTGAGGTGGACTAACGTCTCGCTGCCACAGGATGCACGGGTCCAGGGGCTCAAGCGCTGCTGAGCTTTTGGTACTCCAGCCATCAGCCTGCAGGTGTTCCTCTGTGCGTGCTTTGCCACGGTGGGGCCGGGCAGCGGGGCCGCCTGTTCTGCATCCTCTGCTGTACCCGTAGGAGACGTCGGGTCCAGTCTGGCCATACAGGAGGAACTGTAATAATGCACCGAATTAATCTTAGGTCAGTTGCTCTGAGGAGGACTCAGGGGAGCTCAGACCCAAGGTGTATTTTACTGCTGCTCTTAATATTGGTTTGTTTTTTTTTTTTTTTTGAAGGCTCAGTGAAAGATGAACAGATTGTGTTGATATTTGCCCTTAGAACGGTGGTCAGCCTGTGCCAGGACTTCAAGGGCAGGAGAGCTGGTGTGCCACCAAAGGAGGGAGGGGAGGTGGTGCCACTGAAGAAGGGAGGTGGAGGTGGTGTTGGCCTCTGAGCAGTAGCCCAGAGCAGGCAGGATTGGCTGCCTTTGCAGGCCAGATTTGCAGCTGGAACGCGAGGTCTGGGATGAAGGCAGCGCAGGGGGGCAGGTGTCCCCACACCATGGACATTCCCAGCTGCAGCAGGGAAGGCGCAGGTGGTGTTGGGGGTGCTCAGCAGTGCCTATCGCTGCCTTTCAGTGAAGATTCCAGAGCAGTGCTCGAGCCGTGGCCATCAAGAACAGAGGCAATGTGAGGTTTAGGGGTGGAGGAGGTATTTCTATTAGATCAGCTCATAAGAGTTGATAAAAGCCGAGGGAGCTCTGCATACTGAAGCCTTTTGAAGGTTCCAGTTGAACGGGAGGAAGAACTTCTTGACTTTGAGGGGGACCGAGCCCTGGCACAGGCTGCCCAGGGGGGCTGTGGAGTCTCCTTCTCTGGAGCTATTCAAAGCCCTCCTGGATGATGTCCTGTGCACCCTGCTCTGGGTGAGCCTGCTTGAGCAGGGGGGTAGGGCTGGGTGATCTTCAGAGGGCCCTTCCAACCCCTGCCATGCTGGGATTCTGGGATTCCTCTGGACAGATGGAAGCAGAGACCTGCGCTGAGGAGAATTTAACTCCCAAATCCAGGGCTTTTGTTCCTGTTCTGGGGACCAGCTCAGGTGCCTGGAAGCTCCTCTGTTGATCTCCACCTCTGCTTGTCATCCTGGGGGTGGATATTGCCCCAGCACTGCAGTTGCGGAGGTGTTAGCCCAGCGGGCAGAATTTCCTTCCGGAGCCGCCAGAGCTGCCCGGCTGAACCCACCCTGCCCCAGCACTGCGGCTGGCCCTGAGGCAGTGCATGAACCTGCCCTGGTGGGGGGCTCGTCCCCATTCCTTAGAGCCAGGCTTAGGGCCCCACACTGACAGGCTGGTGGTGGGTGCTCGGGGTGGAAATACCTGGCTTTGCCTTCCACCTTTGGCACCTTCCCCAGCTGTTGGTCACTGCTGCTGCCCAAACCATCCTGCATCTTTTCACGAAAAGCTGGCTGTGAGCTGGCAACCTGCCAACCCTACCCTGGGCTGCATCCCCCCACAGTGTGGCCAGCATCGAGGGAGGGGATTCTGCCCCTCTGCTCTGCTCTGGTGAGACCCTCTGGAGCCCTGCATCCAGCTTGGGGGTCCCCAGCACGGACAGGCAGGGACCTGCTGGAGTGGAGCCAGAGGAGGCCATGGGAATGGTCTGAGGGCTGGAGCCCCTCTGCGACAGGGCCAGGCTGGGAGAGTTGGGGTTGTTCAGCCTGGAGAAGAGGAGGCTGCGGGCAGACCTGACTGCAGCTGCTCAGTGCCTAAAGGGTGCCCATAGAAAAGGTGGGGACAGACTTTCTAGCAGGGCCAGCTGTGACAGGACAAGGGGTGATGGTTTTAAAGTAAACCAGGGTGGGGTTAGACTGGATATAAGGAAGAAATTCTTTACAGCAAGGGTGGTGAAGCACTGGCACAGGTTGCCCAGAGAGGTGGTGGAGGCCCCATCCCTGGAAACATTCAAAACAAGGTTGGGTGGAGCTGTGAGCAACCTGTTCTGGTTAATGGTGTCCCTGTTCCCTGCAGGGGGGTTGGGCTGGGTGACCCTAAAGGTCCCTTCCAACATAGCCATTCCATGATGCCATGATATTTGCAGCAACGCCACCTGCATCTCTTCAAGAGTTTTCTTTGTTCCCTCTCTTCGTGGCTCCCTTAAGCCAGGGCTCCTTGCCACGTCTCACATTAATGCCCTGCTTGCTCTTTCAACGAGGCTCTGCTGGCCCTCCTGGAGCGTTTCTTTTAGTTTTGGTTTCCCTTTCTCTACAAAAAGCCCCAAGAGGTGCTCCTGGATGCCTGGTTATTCCGGAGTCAAGGAACGCGTGCTGGGGTGGTCTCTGCCTTCTCATGGGGACCGTCCCTGTGGTAAAACCATCTTGCTGTCACACCAAGGTGAGCACTGAGGCCACACTTAATGACCATGAATTGCATGTAGCTGGGCTGGGTCCCCCCAGCCCCCACCAATGTCCATGGTGTTGTGGCAGCGGATCCCTGTGGATCCACACCACAGATGCTTCCACTCCTTGCGCGCCCCAGGTCTTGTAGCTGGTGTCCCAATTCTGGGTTTTGGGGGTGCAAAGGCTTTTCTGCTCTGACATATCTGCCCCAGAGTTGTTGCTTGGGGTTTAGGTTTTTCATTTCAAGCATTCTTGCGATCTCACTCATGGTTTCTGCTTCCCATGCTTGGATTCTGACTGACGCGGCCGTGACTCGGTGTGTTTGCGGTAAGCGGTGGAGGTCCCGGCTCCAACCCACCCCTGCTCCCATGGTGAGATTTCTGACTTGGTTTTCCCAGGTTGGTCTTTGGGCATCCCTGGCCTCTCCCTGATGGTTCACATCAGCTGAGCCTTGGGTTGGAATTGTCGTCATTTTACAAAACCAAACAGAACCGAATCGAGTTGAGGTCTTCAGCTTTGAACATGGTTGCACCCCTGGCCAGAAGCTCCGTGTGGTTTAACCATTCCTTTACCAAAAGCAATTTGGGGATATGTTACTCCAAGAGCCACATTTGTTGCTGAGTAGCAGCTGAGCTCAGAGCAGCCCATCTGAGGCTCCGCTCTGTCTGGGCTGACCCTCCCAGCGTGGCTTCTCCCCAGGGTCCTTCAGCAGAGCTGCGTGGCCGTAGCAGAAGCTGCTGGCTTCCCATTCCCCAGCGAGGGTCACAAGGGCTCGGCTGTAGCCCTGCACTGTAACGCTGATGGCTGCATGTATCAGGCTTCCATCGTGTGGGGCTGATGCCGTGGGGGGCTCTCTGCTGGGCTGACTTCACACCCCAGAAGGTTTCCCAAGCCACAGCCAGACTCTGCGTTTCTCACCGGGCAGCCTCACGGGAGTTTTTCCAGCTCTGCCATCCTTCCCAGGGCCCAATGGCAAGGCCTCTGCCAGCTCTGCCGTGGCTGCACCACCGCAGGGGCTCAGCTCTCAGCCCAGTGTCCCCAGCCGGGGGCTGCGAGGGAGGCGGTGGGAGGCACCCATCAGCCCTGTGCTCTGGACACCAGACTCTCGTTAGGATCCGATTTTGTTGGATGAGAGGAGGGCCCCCTTGCTTTCCGGAATCAGGGAGGCTGGGGCGGCCGGACCAACCTCTCCTTTCAGGTTTAATCCCTTCGAGCGAGATTCGGACACAGATGAGGGCAGATGTCCTAAGCCATTTATTGACTGCGGGGGAAAGAGAGTGAGCAGCGATGGGGAAGGAAGGAAGGAAAGATGGGAAATGAAGCGAGAGGTCCAGATGGAAGGGCGCGGACAGTCACCACCATGGATCTGCAGCGTCCTGGGGGTCCGTGCTTCTGGGGTCTGCAGTGGTGGTGGATCACACACGGGGGTCAGTGTTTGCACAGGGTCTTCAGTGATCGCACAGTCTTTGGTGGTTTCCCCCCAATCTTGGGTGATGGTGCACACCCTCCAGTGGTCTCCCCCATTGTCTGAGGCTGCGGCCTTTTCTGTAGAGCCCAGCCCGGCACACACACACACACCTTTCACGCACTTTACTTCCGTTGGGCTCTGTCCACGCACTTTCTCATTGCTGGGCCGGGGCCGGGCTCTGCTCGCATGCTGTAAGGGGCAGCAAACTGTGAGCCTTGCTGGGCAGACGGCCCCGCCAGGGGGTCCCCTGTTCCAGCGAGCCTGCAAGCCACCGTGCCCAGGCCATGGCAGCACTGGTCTCTGCAGGGGGCACCCAACTGGGCAAGCTCGGAGACAGTTGGCCGGCTGTTCAGCCCCCAGTCAGGGGGATTTATGCTGGTGTCAACTGCAGAACCATCCCTGGGGCCACACAGCCCCCCTCTCCCTGCCGAGCCTCCGCTGGCCAGGCAGGCACCTCTGGTGGCCCCAGGTGCGTGCTCCGGCCCCTTCGCCCAGGGGGGCTTCAGCCACCCCTTCCCTCAGTGGGGCGCATGGGGGATTTTTTGCAGGCTTGGCTTCTCCCAAGCTCGGATTTGGAGAAAGGAATTTTAAAAACACAAGCGTGGTGGTGACTCCTCCAGCCCAGGGACCTTGCACAGGCGTTGGGCATCATCTCCCGGTCCTACACATGCCCGCTCTTGGTGGCTCGCAGCTGAGGAGGCACACAAGCCCTGGGACCTGCCCCTGGCACGGTCAAACTTCCTTCTGCTGGTTGCTGAGCACTCGGGTCTAGGATGCAGAATGCTCGGCTGGAGCACAGGCACGAGGTCTCCACAAGTTCCAACCAGCCTCGGAGGAGCAAGTCCCCCCAGTTAGGGGTGGGGGGTCTCCTCTTTGGTACAGCGTTGGCTAAATGGACATTACCCAAACTGCGCCCGTTGGCTCAGCCTAAGCTTGGTATTTGTGAACGGAGTTACCTGACACTTCACATGAAGACTTCAAAAGTGGGGGGGAGAATTTTAACTGGGCAAGAGCCCATGGGAATGTCCTGGGAACACAACGGAGACCGGTGCTCTACTGGGTGCTGACAGGACTATTTTTATTAAAATACACATGGAGCTGGCTTGGAGCCCTGTGCTTTGTCAGTCCCCGCCGTTGCGCTGGGGAAAGGGGGCAGTGGGGGCGGTAGCTTGCATCCCCCCCTTGGGACGGGATGGGCCCCAGCCCTGCCGGAGCAGGGCTGCCTGTGTGCAGTGAGGTGGGCAACGCCGCTGGGCCCCATGGCTGGGGAGGCATCGGCCAGCAGACCCCGTGGTGGAAGGAGCTGGGCTCTCCCCATCCAGGGGTGAGCAGCTGCCAGCAGAAGCTCATCCCTGTCCCTCGGCGGCCGGGGCAGGCTCATGGCGTGGGCACTGCTGCCTCACCGGGAATTATTGGAGGGAAGCGAGCAATTCCCGCTAAGGCGTTCAGGTAAGTCCTGCCCAGCAGTGGTGACGGGTGTTGGAGGGGCAGTTGGTGACACAGCCACTGCCAACACCTATAGAAACATCTGCTGACACCTATAGATCTGCTAATGCCCGTCTGTGTTCCCGCTGTGCGATCCCCCCAGCAGACAGCACCCAATGGCTGCTTGGTAACACTCCTTGCAAGCGGTGTCCCCCGCAGTTGCGAAGCCCCACAATGCTTCCAGCACACGTGCGTGATTGCACCCCGAGGGCAGGGCCTGGGGGGGTTCGGTCGGTGCCCGTTTCTAACCGACCACCCCCTGCATCTTGTGTCCTGATGCCTCCGCACCAGTGACGTCAGCTCACGTGAGCCGTACCTGAGCAGGAGGTCCCTGGGGTCCGCAACTCCCTTCCCCATCACCCAAAACAGGCCATGGCTGTGATAAAAGCTTCAGGAATAGCATTGGCATGCGTGAGGGAGCATCGGTTTAGTTTGTTAACGAAAGGATAGGGACCACTGCCCCTGGAATGCTGGGTTCAGGGTTGGGCCCCTGACTCCCAGAAGGACCTGGAGGGGCTGGAGCGTGTCCAGAGAAGGGCAAGGAAGGTGGGGAGGGGTGTGGAGCCCCAGGCTGCTGGGGAGCGTCTGGGGGAGCTGGGGGGGTTCATCCTGGAGCAGAGGAGGCTGAGGGGAGCCCTCATCACTGCCTACAACTGCCTGAGAGGAGGGGGGAGCCAGGGAGGGGTTGGGCTCTGCTCCCAGGAAACGGGCAATGGGACGAGAAATCACAATAATGATTTTTTTTTTCACCAGGGCGGCTCCATAGGGGGGCAGATGATGCTCATCCCTCATCTCCATCACCACCTTTCTTACAGAGGGGCCATGCGCCATCCCCATACCCACCCCTCCATGTTCCGCTGCTCTTCCTCAGTATCTTCACCCCTCGGTGGCCGCAGCCCCCTGTAACATCTTCCACACCTCGTGGCCCCAGCTCTTCCTGCAGGTCAGCAACGCCTGGATCAGCCCTGGCAAGAAGCAGTTTGTCCCCTCGAACACCGCGTTGTCCGCCTGTGATGCTCTGGTTGGGGGCCAATGTGAGGCTGGTTCTCGGTGGTTAAAAACCAGGGGACCTGTTGTTTGCCACCCTGAAATGGGAACGACTGGGGATGCTACTTAGTGAGTAACATGACCAGAGAGTCCCTGAAACGGAGACGGGGGTGTCTTGCCATGAGCTCACCCCTTCCTGCAGCCGCTTGCAAATCTGTTTTCCCCCTCAGCAGCCAACATGGCTGCCATAGCCTCGGTTCCCCACGCCGCAATGGTGACACCCAGGAACGCTGTGCCTGTGAGTGGCCAAGCACAACCCGGAGGCACTCATCCCCCGGTCCAATCCCACCTCAGCTTTCCTTCCCACCACTGCTTGGCGCTTGCGGTTCCTGGGCAAAAATACCATTGGGACTGGGTTTTTTTCCCATCCCGTGCCGACGTTGGATGTCCCGGAGGATGCAGCCCTGCCCTGTCCTGCCCGTGGGCCCGCAGCGCCCATGAAGCTCTGGGCTGAGGCTCAGCCCCAGCGCTCGCCATGTTCCTTGCCTTCACCTTCCTGCATTTTCCCCGCTGTGCAGTCTGCAGCAATGGGAGCACAGCTGGAGGCTGACCCTGGCACGAAGGGTTTGGCAGCTCAGGTTCTTCCTCTCCACTCCCCCACACCCAACCACCTCATTCTGGAGCGCCTGCAGAGCCTGGACGGACAGACGCACGCATGGCCCTTCCCATGGGCACAGGTCCTCACTCACAGGTCCCTGGCCTGTGGGTCAGGACCCGGCCCCGCTGCTGTGTTCCCAGTGGAGCATGCCATGCCCAGGCACAGTTCGCCCCAAGCCTGGAGGAACGCTTGCCTGTGGTAAAGGGGTTTTTTCAGTTGCACCCTGCCCTGGGTTTGAGGGATTTTCTCCCTGGGCTGAGGAATCAGGAAAAACAGCCTGGGGAAACAGCCTGGGGAAAGGAGCCTTTATTATAAATATCTGCTGTGCTGGGCACGTGCCAGCAGGGCAGTGACAGGGGCAGGGAGCTGGTGGCCGCTCCGTGCCACTGGGACACCCGGTCCCGCCGGGGTGGGGGCTGGCTCTGCCATGGGACCCCCCAGGGAGATGCCATGAAGCACCGCCCCCCCCCCTCCAGCGGTGGGGGACGGGGTGCATGGCCCCGTGGGGGGGGATTTCATTTTTTCCTCCGGAGGTTTTTCAGGGCTTTCTTCACCCAGGCCCTCTCGGGGTCGGCGCAGATCTTGTTGCCGGTGGAGGTCACAAGTCTGCAGGGAGAAAGCAAGGAAAGCAAAAATGACTTTCACTCTCTCTTCAAGAGGGTGAAAACACAAACCGAGAGCTGTTCCCTTACCATTCCTGCCCTGCGCGCGGCCCCATCCTGGGCATGGGCTCGGAGCTGTCTCCCACAGCCCATGCCCCCCACCCGGCTACATCCCCC